TCTTACCAAACTATATTCCAGGAGAACTCTGGTCAAACTGGTATGGGATACGCGAAAGGGAGGCGCAAGAGTTATGGGCATTGATAGGGGAGGAGTAGTGCAATTGGTACAGAAAAAATAATGTGATTCAAATAAAAATAATCATAAAACTAACCTATAGATAATTGAACGGCTGTGAAGGTAGAAAAGCCCGTCGGCTATCTCGGCTGAGTAAAAGCTGTGAAGAAGAATTAAGAAACGAGGTCTTCATAAGTGCGCGAGGGAGACACCATCCAAAAGGTTCAGGAATAGACAATATTTGGGCACAACGTAATCGCCGACATGTTTACATGTCTCAGCAGCTCATACTGACCATATAATTAATACCTTTTTGTCCTAATGAAGTCTGTCAACCGGCCTAAGGGATGAAGACAGTTGCACCATAATCGAATCGTAGCATCACTTACATCGGATTAAAAGCAAATGTCGGTAGACCAAGACGAATCTACCGCTCCATTGCAAGCTTTCGCTCAAAATGAATGCAAGCCAACATTGATGTATCAATAGATTTATCTAAATTCAGTTTCTTTTCATTTCATCTAGTTTGTTATGCTTTAAAACGCAATAAATACAAAAATTAGTCTCGGCCTGAGGTGGGGTTATATTACAGGAGACTCCCTCCCAATTAGGCTTATTGCAGCAAAATATGTTGTGGAGGCCAAAATAAAAGATAGAGAAAAGGACAAATCTTGCTAAAATAAATTGTCAAATTTGCCCCACCCTGACAAGGGGGAAGCCTAAAAAAGCCTAAAAAGGACTGCCTTCCACCCGTCAGGCGACACCATGGCTTCATCATCTTTGACCCTTTGTGTTAAATAATAATGAAGGGACAATGATGAAGCCTATATCATTCCAACTTTTCAGACAATGCAACTGCATCTGTGAGGATAATACAATGGATTTTGCTCTCTGCTAATCCCTGTCAGGTCAGGTAAGTGTTAATCCGGATTTATGGCAAACAGTCTTGCCTTCAATACATGCTAACCTTTAGGCGACTTTTCACAGGCAGTCAATGCGGACAAGCATTCGCCAGGAGGGCGGTCGAAGGAGGGGTAAACCTGAGGCTGGCGTCAAGTTGTATGCAGAGATCGGCCCGACGGCGGGACGATCGGAGGGCCCACACGATATCACAGAGGCTATTAAGCAGCGATTAACTTTGGAGTAAACCCGTGCAAACGGCTCTAAATTCAATGTCAGGTAGGAAGGGAAAAACGATGCCGGGGATTCTTCGAAATCTGCTGAGTCGAATTAAAGGCGCCTCAAAGAATGAACAGAAGGAAGCATCCACTGTTGAGGCCGGCCATTGAAAAAGGATTATGCCGAGGCAGGAAAACGTGAAGACCCTTCGTGACTGGAGACATAAAAGTTGAAAGTATCGGTACCCTCGTGTGCTCTGCATTCCAAATGGAATTTGCCGAGGAGACTTTCATTTCGTATGAAAGTGCAAGATGAAGAGATTTGTAGGTCATTCTCACCAGAAGACGACTGGTTCACAGTGTTCTCGAGCCGTCTGGCTTTGCTTTCTCATATGACAGACATCGTGAGAGCTGGAACTCATTTTGCAGAGGCCTCAAGTAAACACTGAGCCAATAGGACGATCCGGTTCTATTCAGCATGCTATACTTACTCATGACTAAAACAGAAAATATGTTTATATGGCTGGATAAAGAATAATTGGCTTGGTTAACTCTCTTTTATACTAATTAGGGAAGATACACTGTGTGTGTGCGGCTGTGTGCACGTGCGTGAGTAAGTCAGGGTACGTAATACCGGCTATACTTCAGAGTAATTTCGATGTAAAGACTTTCATTTCGTATGGCAGTACGTGATGAAGATATGCGTAGGTCACTCTCACCAGAAGACGTCGGCTGGTTCGTGTTGTACTGCAGCCGTTTGGCCTTAATACGGCGTTCAGGGTGATACCGTCCACGAGGCATCCTCCAACATGTCGGGAGAAGACGGGCTGAGCTTCAGTTCGTCATATAACGAACAGCAGCAAAGCTGGGACACATTCCTGCAAAAGTCTCAATAAGTCTCGGCTTTGACGATGCTCGTCACATGACGAACAAAAGCTGACCTCGTGGAAGGCATTAAGCTGACTGTCGTATCAACGCCAAACGACTGCAGTACACGCAAATCAGCCGACGTCTTCTGATGGGATTGACCTACGAATCACTTCATCATGTACTTCCATACGAAACAAGAGTTCTCATATCAATTTTATCTCGGAAGATTCTTCGAAACTCGCATTTTCCTCGTATATATAATCTGTCTCAGAGTAGCTACGCAAGAGCCTAACATCATGCCAGGGACATCAAAGTTTAATAAACTAAGAAAAAGCATTATCGAGATTGAGAAGCATGAAAGTAACTCTGACCGAAATGATGAGATGATGAGTAAGGC